AGGTAACTAGAGCACTTGCCTGAAAGCTTTAGACAATGTCTAGCTCAATCGTAGACGAAACATCAGGCATAAAACCCTGCAGACCATGGCCAAAAAACCCAGAAAATAGCTTTGATGAAGGTATAGCTTTTTTTATTGATTTATCTAAAGACATTTGAAATAAATATTTCATGAGAATAAGATCGTCAATCTCTAGGATGAAAAAAAAATAACTTGCACATTTTGCTACTCGAACAATAGGAAGCCATTGCAAAGAGTTGCCTACCTCAGGTGCAACGTTAGGAATCTCACTGCATTTATCTTCAAAAGTTCGTCAAATATTACCTGGAGATTGTGTCCTTCTATGATTTATTGAGATTCACTACATTCTATTAGGTTGTTCCAAAAGTTTTGTGCGTACTAATATCATCTGTTTTTGTAGCTCCATATCTCATTAAATATTTAGTCTACTGTGTTGTAGTATATAGAGATTGATAAAGAATTTCGTACTATGTGTTGAACCAAAGCGCTGCTAAAAACACCCGATTTGAACGATCGACAAGTAGTAGAATGCTAATGGCAGTTCTGGACCTCTCTCACCACTCGACCTTCAATGGCGTCACACGACCTTGAGCTATGTACACGTCATATGACATTGAAGGTCCTAAATGACCTTGAGCCATGAGCACGTCAAATGACCTTGAACATGAGGTTTGACCTTGATATCGACAGAAATTGCCACGTTTCGAAGTCTGTTCTTATTTGTTTTTGGGCAGCCAAAACGATCCTTTTTTGGTGTCGGATCGTCACGTGTGATGTAAACTCAAACCTTTACGACCACAGATGTTCCGGACAGTGGTTGAACAACGATGTGTCATCCAGTCACTTTCCAAAGGCGAAAACCCACCAAAAAAAGACAAAGGTTACTAAGTAGTGGTCAGCAGCTGCTGTAATTCATTATTACTTTCTGCAATCGGGCCAAACCATCACAGGAGAATCGATTAAATGTACCGAAAATTGCGTCAGCAGCAGTCGGTACTGGTCAAAAGAGGTCCGATCCTGCTCCACGACAAAGCCCGTCGGCACGTTTCTCAAATCACCGTCCGAAAAGTAAACCAATTACCTCACTCGCCATACTCCCCATAACTGTCGCCAACCGACTACCATCTTTTCAAGCACTTCGATAACTTTCTCTCCAGTAGAACCTTCGTCAATCGTCGACTTCCTCGAATCCCGAGCAAACAATTTTTATGCTGACGAAAATTATCGACCTGTGTTACATTGACGCTTATTTCTATTAAAATGAATAAGTATCCACTGAGGTATTACAGTTAAATGTAGACAAAAAAACGAACAAAGCTTTTGAAACAACCAATAGTAAGAGTCAGAATATGAGAGAAATATGACGAGAAAGCTTGTAAAACACTGCCAACAGTAGGATTAAAAAATGTTGTGTTCAATGATAGCTCATCCCTAAGATTGGTACAGATATTTCAAAAGCTTTCTGATTCATTGAGAGTTTTTTCTTCATATTTCGCAAACATTACAAAAACATAAAACCACTGAATACTACCTGGACTGAAAAGTCTCGGGCCTAACACATAGATGGCGTTAGTCGTATTGCATTTCAGTTAGAACTAACCTTCAAAAGGAAGCTGTTGAAATTTCATGATATTCTACTCATAAGTTTGTGAGCTATTGTGCTAAGAGTGACACAACTTTTGTTATTTTTAAAACGATGGATCAAAAACAATTGCGCGTTTTAATCTTACACTGCTTCTTGATGGGAAAAATACTGTTCAAGAGGAACAATGACTTGAAAAAAATGTTATAGGGACTCTGCTCCAGCAGAAACAACAATTAAACGTTGGTTTGCTGATTTCAAACATGGTCGTAGAGACACCGAAGATACGGAACGCAGTGGACGTCCAAATGAGGCAGTAACACCAGAAAATATAAAAGAAAACCACAAAATAGTTTTGAATGACTGAAAAGTGAAGTTGCGTGAGTTAGCTGACATTGTAAAGATATCAAAAAAAAGTGTTGGCTATATATTGCATGAGCATTTGACTATGAGAAAGCTCTGTTCAAAGTAGATGCCGCGCGAGCTCACTGTTGATCAAAAACAAGAACGTCTTGATGATTGTGAGCAGTGTTTGGCCAGGTTTAAACATAACAAACCGGAATTTTTGCGTCGATATGTGACAATGGATGAAACATGGTCCATCACTTCACTCCGGAATCAAAACGGTCGTCATCTGATTGGAGATCAACTGATGAAACTCGTCCAAAGCGCACGAAAGCACAACAAACACCTGGAAATGTTATGGCCTCGGTATTCTGTAGATTGGGCTACCTATCGGGCGCGTTCGGTGGCGGATAGGGGAACGGCCAGGGGAGTGGACGCCCTGTCCGGGAAGCCAATGTGGCCTTGCGGACGGGGTCGCTGGTCAGTGGCAGAAATAAGTAGGGTGAGGGGAGCTAAAATTTCCCAAAAGCCTTTGCAAAACATGCCACTGTGGACCAGCCTACCCAAGCTAACGATGACCTTGGTGAACTGGGCGAAACCTCATTGTAATCAGCCTACCTCTGGTAATGCGGGGCTCTGCCAGAGGTGAGCAACTCTCATGCTACTGATGAGAACACACATGAATGAAACAAACACAGAAACAAAAACGATAAAAACAAAAACCCAAGGCTGGACAGAAGTGTTCACCTCAATCTAAGGCGGTGGCTGGGGATGAACAGAAATGTCCACTGGATATAGCAGATCACTTCGTGATGTAATACAAAAGGCCAAGAAGTAAGCGCATTTGCGGCGCCGAGGCCAAAAGGAGAAGGAGAGCGAAAGAGGCAGGAGTGGCAGCAACTATAAGTGCACCCTTCTCCTCCCCCACTCCACCTCCAACAGCAAGGACACTTCCTGCGGCGGGAGACAAGAGCTCCGCCTTGAATAAAGGCAAGGAACCGGCTGCTCTTGCAGGAAAGCTTCCTCACTTGTGCACCTACACGGAGGGAACTCCAAGAAGGTTGACGAAGCCGCGCAACGACAACGACAGTATTGTCGCTGCACCTTCCAAAACCTTCGTGGTGGCCACCTCAAGGTTGCCAAAAAGAGTGTGTTCCGCGAGTCTTGGCCTACACCTGCCAATATAAAGGAGATGTATCCTAGTGACCTGTCCACCTTCCTGGAAAGGACAGGATGGACGATGACCTAGGAGGACAACTCCTCGGGACGATGTACAATGGATCACATGTGGCCTAAGTGCTGTGCGGTATTTTAGGATATGAGTTGTGGCGACTATCTCGAGAAGGGAAATACCATCAACAGTGAATATTATATGGCGTAATTGGAGCGTTAGAATGCGGAGAAACGACCGCATATGGCAAAGAAAAAAAATTTGCTTCATCAAGACAACCCACCTTGTCACAAGTCAATCAAAACAAAGGCAAAACTACATGAATTGAACTTCGAATTGCTCCCACATCCACCATATTCGCCAGATTTGTCTTCCATCGACTACTGGCTGTTCGTAGACCTCAGAAAAATGTTTATCGGTCGAATGAAGAGGTTATTTTTGAAACTGGGATCTATTTTGAGGCAAAAGATAAACCGTTTTACATATGTGGTATTGAAATGTTAGACTACGCTGGAATGAGTGTGTGGTTCTCGATGGAGATTACGTTAATGAACGAAACGCGTTTTCTTTCTTAGGCCCGGGACTTTTCAGCCCATGTGTTATTAGAATATTATTTTCTTTTCACTTCCAAAATAAGCCTGTTGTGACACCAAGTATACATGACACACATCCCAAAGCTTGTGACTTATGTGCAGAAAGCATTTTCATAACTTTTATTACAACTCAAACAAACAAACATTATTTGCAGTGATTCATTTATTACCAATTTGTATACAGGAACAATATACCTACTGGCCTACTTAACACAATAAAATAGTTGAATAAAGTTCATCTAACATTCGGAATCAAAAGAAAATCAGTCGAATAATACTACTTGGATGGACTTATTAACGTTACAACTTCAAAATATTCAACACTTAAGTTATAAAATTACAGTAAACGCAAACAATTGTATGGGTAGATAGGGATTTGTTGTTAATTTGATTAACATTCCCTTCATTTCTTTTTTTTAAACTTACTTCCACATTTCCTTAACTAGTGACTAAATCAAACATCTAGTGAGGTTCTCAGAAAAAAATAAATAATAAAACATTCAAGAAATAACAAAACAAAAAATCTATATGTACATATAAAACAAAATAAAACTGGCAAATGACGCGATACTGTGAAATATTAAATCGTAAAGCAGTCTTGGCACTTAAGAATATCCAACAAACAGCAAATCTTTGCCTTTACCCATTAGTTGTTTATGAAAATGTAATATTCCATCAAAAATTGGCCAAAGATTTATTTCAGCCACAACTTGAAAACGTTACGCCATTTAGATTTCTGGTTACTGTTTTTTTTGAGTATATGACCTATGGAAAAGGTTATATAGGTGAAACCTCAAGATCCCTATATAAAGAGAAGAAAGATGGCAGGATGGGGGATAGCGGAGCATATTCTAAAATCAACTGGTGATCATGCTAAAGAATGGAATGAAACAAAAATGATCACGAATGAAACTCATTGAAAAAATCAGAACACTCAAGCAAACCGCATATATTCTTTTAGCAGGTAAAAATTGTATTTCGAATAGCTCTGTAGAAATGGATCGTACCTGGTTACCATTACTGAGAAGAGAGGTAGAAAACGGAAATATGAACCTTGACCAAGTTCTCAAAAAACATCCAGTATATGTATTCATTTAGACTGTCATCTATGACATATGGACATCTTGATCTTTTGACAAACGTCAAACGAATCAAAGCTATTCACAATTTGTGGCGAAAGTTTCAAAGGTTTCAGGTTTTGAAAACGGAAAAAGATCATTTTCCGAAAATGAGTATAAATATTCAATTTTTTTCAATTGATTTTTTTCAATTTATGAATACGACAAGTCACTGACTAATTGGACTTTTCAGTGGTTTATATTACACAGTAACTTTCACACTTCAGCATATTCTCTAATGATTTAGCTTTGTTTACTTTTCAGGTTATATACCCTAAAAAACAATAAGAAGTTTTAAATCCTCCACAAAAATGTCTTTTGAAGAATATTGCACAAATGAATTTCGATTAAATGCATAAGACGAACAGAATTCTACTCGAGCAACTACTGAGCATTTATTATGTTTTCTTATATCCATCAAAATCTGATTGAAAACGGTGTAGAATTGTCAAACAAAACGTAAAATATATCGAAATTTAAAGTAATATGTGTAACTCTCTTATTTGGGTAATATAGCGTACAGTAGAAATTTACATCCTTGTCCATGTGTGCAGTTGATGTATCTTTGAATTTTGAAACACTGGTTTCTACCTTTTTGACACCAAACAAAGAATGATGGATGTTCTTTTAGAGGAGAACGTCAAGAAACATGTATTTTAATATATAGCTTAATCTGATATAACAGTGGCTACAAAAATCGATGAAAAAAAAACTAGAGGTCCGCATTCAAAAAAATTAGGTTGATGAAATCTAATGAACGAAACGCAGCATTGCAAATTGATCCACATCAGGAGCAGCAGTAAAGAATATCATCACCCTATATACTATATATACACCCTATATATACACATATACTTTCCACGAAATCAAGTACAGAATAAAATCAATTTCTTACAAGGAACTCCGACTTTCGTTTTGAACAAATTTAAATTCAATTCCATAACATTATATGGAAGTTGGTTAAAAAAAATTCAACTATAATAAGGAATGACATGAAGAACTGACTGACTCTAGATCGAGTTTCAGGACTCTTAAGAATGATAGGCAAAAAAAAGCTGATGAGTGTGCTAGATAAGGATCGACAATTTCCTACATGGGATCTGTCCAACCTGTTGGGGCACCAAAATCTTGGGTCGATAAAAAAGAAAAATATACCTGGGAACAAACATGGAAAAAAAATTTATAAAAAAATTGTCTGCTTTAACAGAACACCTGCACGAAATGAGGCTATATAATGGAGACCTTAGCTGCAAGGCCAGTGAATGCAAAGAGACAGAAAGAGCTTATCATATATCATATCTTAGACCACTGGATAACCGGAAGCAAGATTGCTGAATATTGTTGAATTAGGTGCCATGAATAGATGGGACAAAAAACAGTGTTATCCATAGACTTGGAAGAAATTGATAGGTCGAACAACTCCAAAAATGTTATTGAAAACTTTGATATTTTTCATTATAAGAATTATGTTAGAACCTCATATAAAAGTATCGTAAGTTCTAACTAAAATGTATGTAAAATGATACTGTTACAGTTTATGTAAATTAGACAAAGCTTTTCAATCTCAAAAATATTCACCAAACTTAGTTGTGGCATTTTATCTTCAAAAGGTAAGTCACATTTCTCAAGCAAAAAGCTTGAATCAAATAATCAACTATTCAATACAAAGTTAATTTTTGGCAAGGCATTCTTAAATTTAACTTCACGAAAATAACTATTCTCTGTGACTTCTGGCTGTATTACATAAATTTTGGTTTTAATTTGCAAATTCTACTATAAATAATACCATGATTATATACAAATCATAACTTTCCATGATGTAATATTATGGTGACCTTACACCCCTACAACATTGGACAGAAACAACAAAGAAAATATTGTTTGCTGGATATTCATTTAACAAACAAAGGGCACCGATCAATAGGAATTGTATCAAAAGTTGAAAATAAACTCATTATAAGTGATTTTAAAGTTCCAATTTCAGTGATTACGTTTCCCGATATCAAAAGGGTTGAAACGCCATAAATAAATTTTCCTGCAACACACCCTGACATTGTTTTCTTTCTAAAATTATATGTGCTATCAGTAAATGCAATTTCCATTAGATGAATGCCATCTGGCAAATAATTATTCAGGTATTATTGATTACCACATTTAATTAATTGTTTCAATTCAGAACATACTTCAATTTAGTCCAATGAGCTCAGGATACTTTACTGTTTTTCTCTCTACCATTACATTTATTTATACAAGGTTTGTTCAAAAAATAAGATGAAGGTTCTAGTTTTGCGGGATACATACATTCGATTAGCGATTAGCTAACGAAAAATTTTATCAAAGAATTTGCATAAAATTGACAGTACCTTCTGAAACTTTTCTTGGGTCAAACTTGCAGTTTTCCACTTGCATTAAACTCTGTTTATTACCAAAAATCAATAAGCAATAATAAAATTATAATGATAAGTTAAACACAAAAATGCTTCTCTTCACTATAATTTTTATTTTCTTTAGATCGTTAAATAAACCTAAACTCTTTAGAATCAGATGAGAGAAAGACAGATGAGTGAAATTGAGATGAAATTTTCATTTACTAATTCAAATGTTATTAACACGAGTACAATTTTTAAACTATCAAACGTAAAGGTGGTGATTTAGATAATCCCTTCAATCTGCGTTCTGTTTCCTTAATACCGACTTTAGCAAAAATTATTGAGAAATTAGTCAAAGTACGTTCAGATGAATTCTTAAAACCGCATTGTATTATAAGCAAAAACCAGTTCGGGTTTCAGGCGGAAAAAGATACAAATGATGCTATCTTCTCTTTTTTATATGAAATTTACTCTGAATTGAATGCTGATGAAGTAGCCGCCGCAATTATTTGCGATATTTCAAAGGCGTTTGATTGCGTCAATCATAAAATTTTATTAAAAAAACTTCATAAATATGGATGTAACGAACACTTGGTTCGAATCGTACCTTTCAGGTCGGAGTCAAATGGTGAGGATAACGGAACTCTTGAAAAACAGGGCCATTGAATCTGCTGTACCACAGGGTTCTGTGTTAGGCCCTATTCTGTTTCTGCTGTAGGTATATGATTGACATATCTATGATTAACATATCTGGTAGTTTCACTCTATTCGCGGATGATAATATGCAATTAGAGTGGTTTCAAATGAGTAGGCAAAGACCGTTGCCTACTCACTTATTGAATCTCGACTATGTTATGGAACACCTTTTCGGGGAGCATGCAACTTATCCCTTGTATTGTATTTCTTGTATTTCTTGGACTTTGTCAATAAGAAGCAAATCTTCGGACAATAAAGTATATTTTGATTTGATTTGAACTTTTCAGAATCTCTTTTATTACACTACAGCAAATTCTCTGTTGATTTGGTTTTGTTCGTTGTGGTAGGTTAAAAACTCAGAAAAACACTAAGAAATAATCAATTGATTGATTTGGTTCTGTTCATTTTCCAGATTGTGGACGGTTTGTAACCAAAAAAAACACTAAGAAATAATCAATTTGTTGATTCAGTTTTGTTAATTTTTCAGATTGTGAAAGTTTAGAAACCCCAGAAAACAGCAACAAATAATCAATTAGAGTATCCACTTACCAAATCGACAGTTAAAACACAAAAAACACCACTAATCACAGCACGTATCACTAGAAAATCGCGTTCCACCGATCGAAGAATTCAAAAACCGCGGTCTCTTCTCGCAGTGGTCAATATCGGAGAGCAAGATCGGAGTGCGAGAAGAATTAAAGCTCCTCCGTTCTCGAGGTAGGCCACGAGAAGCAGCTGGCAGATGTCTGAGGTTACCAAAGGTAAGGGAAGGAAGGCACTCACGGCCGATTTGACTTAAGTGGCCGTAAATCAAGATTTGAGGCTGAAAACGCCTCGGGAGTTTTATATCCTTCAAAAATATATTATATGGACATTTGCTCATGTTTTTGTTATTGAGGATTATGCTCGAGTTGAAAGAGGCAAGGATTGTTCCTGGAATGAATGTTTTTGTTGGAAATCGATTACAGTCGCAAGCTCAGGGGTCATAAATGTTTCCATGAATACCGTCATTGAAAAGTCATAAAATAGTTTATTACGTGCCTTTACTTGTCAATAGCAAATTTCACACCAAATATTTATTTTAACTTCAGTGTAATAATTTTTTTCACTACTAACCTGAGAAATTGCTATTACTTACTCCATTCCCCTAACGAGAATTAATATTTCTCACCCTTGGTAAATAATGATAATAAAAAAACACCTAGGTAAATAATGAGAACAATTCTATAATTTTAAAGATATTCACAGAAACTTTTGTTAACTTAATTATCAACTAGAAGTAGGAAATTGAACATTGGAAAAACACTTGAAAATTATTTGAAATTATAATTAATAGTACAATTGTGACAAATCATGTGTATTCCAGCATTTCCTGTACTAATGGAACTAACATTTGGACCAGGTAAATTCACTTCTGTGTTACAAACAATCCTCGTATTTTGAACGCATTCATTACTTCTTTCCACTAAATTATCTTCAACATGGACGTTTTCTAAGACAGCATCTTACTTGCAGAAGAAGTTATATTTGAAGCTTCAATGCACTAATTCAGCGATTCTCTTCTTATTAGCTATTGATTTCTCAATTTATCCTTCAGCCACTGCAGCCGACTTCCACCCACCGTGCCGTTTCAGGCTTAGTAAGTCTCCTCCGTTTTCTGCGAGAAGTGTTGCCGAGCTACGTCTTAGAGAATGACCAGTATAACACTCAGGAATTTCTAATTTGAGATAATTAGCCACGACATATGGTACTTTACTAATAGTTGGTATTGTGCCCTATATTTTGTATAGTTTTGTAATGTCACTTGGCCTATTAGCTGAATATTTTTTAATAACATTATCCTATTGTAGCTCAGCAACAACAAACTTCCTTGATGTTCTGCTCTTTGAATTAAGAATATTTATTATGATATCATCGCAAACTTCTAAATCGTCTAGGAGCATATTGCATAATTCATCTGTTATGCAGACACCGGCAACACCAATTACCATAACAGCCTAAATATCATTCCATTAAAAAATTGAACACAATCTAATAATAAAAAAGTATACCTTTTTTGATAAATCTTCGTCATCAGGAGCTTCAACTATGAATTTGTCAATTTCTTCCTTTGTAAATACTTTTGATTTCTTAGGTTTATAATTATTGTTTTTTCGTTTTAAAAATGCTACAAGCTTGAAAAACTTTGAAATGTCAATATTTTTTTTTATTGCAAGTGTCGATTCTAGCATGGAATAATTTGCCCACAATGTCGATACCTTTTTGCCTTCATTTTTCTCTTTGAAATACGCTAATAAAACATTTTCTGTTACTTACAACTTTTCTTTCTTCACACCATGTTTGTAGTTGGTTATATGCATTCATGTATAGTCTCTTTGATTTTTCTAGCAATAAATCACTACTTGTACAAGCTGCCACCACTCTAACTTCAGGCGGGGTACACATCATCTCTAAATCATCGTCACTTGAATTTTCACCCATTTTTCAATTAATTATATTGACGTTTTACTTATATAGATCTTTTAACTTCTTCAAAATGACATCTAAATTTGAATTAAAACCGCATTTGGCAAATTGACACCAATAATAATCATTGAACAGTGTTTGGTTGTCATGGAAACGCCGGCAAACGTTTTCATGGCCTAAGTAGATGTTGCGCGCTTATCATCGACATCGCGTATTCAACATGGAAACTGTACCGTTTCAATTTGACATGCAACAATTCATAGCTGCCTTGGGTTATCATATAACCAAGGAAATTTTTTTCTCACCATAATGCAGAATTATATATCAAAAATGCAATGAGATATTTCCTAGATTCATATCAAAATTTGACACATGCCAAATTTTTACATGAATAAAGCCAGTCTGATTAGAAACACGCTCCACTCTACTTGATATTCCGATATATTCAACAAATTGTTAGAATATTACTAATGCCAAAATTAAAATTGTTAATATATAAATGTGAGTAGTGAAAAAAATTCTATATATGCCTCGGCTGAGAAAGCTGTTATATATAATAGCTCACTTCTCACCCTAGGTATATAATATACTATTAACTCTTACAAGGAATGAGTATACTGAAGTATTTCCTGATAAATTTGTGGTATGGATTTGTGGTGAAAAAATCCATCGCTTATTTTGTGATACATCATTCCATACAACTCAATATTGTTTGAAGGCTCAAAAACTTCCATCAATCTCTTTAAAAAATAATTGGCAGTGTTACATATAAAATACTCTGGATTATACAATTTTACTTGGGGTGAAATTTTTGTATTACATGTTATATATCAGATAGCATGTCAATCAATTTTCTCTCCGTTTCTTTAAGTTATGTCATCAGAATTTCAGGCTTGTTCCAATAGAGAAAAATCATGCTTTTTTATCCTTTCAAATGGGCCTAGAAAATCTGAAGTAGTTAAAAATGTCTCTTATTTTAATTTTCCAAAATATTCAAAATAGTCCACAATTTGATCTCGATTTGACCTTGTGAAAGACGCCAGCGCCCCACCCTG